TCGGTGCGAGAGGTCGCTGAGGCGCGTATGCGCGCATCCCACTTCCAGCTGATCAAAGTAATCGGACGAGGTGCCTTTGGAGAGGTGCAGCTGGTGCGTCACAAGCTGACGAATCAGGTGTACGCTATGAAACTTCTCAACAAATTTGAGATGGTTCGTTATGATGATTCTTTTGTTTCTTTATCGCCTTCCGTTACTCTTTTACTTCAGATCAAACGTGCTGACTCCGCGTTCTTCTGGGAAGAGCGCGATATCATGGCCTACGCAAATTCTGACTGGATTGTTAAAGTAATGAATAGCTTATGGTAGATTGATAAACGTTAGTTTTTTGTTTAAGCTGCACTACGCCTTTCAAGACGCCCGGTATTTGTACATGGTAATGGAATACATGCCCGGAGGGGATTTGGTCAATCTTATGGCCAGCTATGATGTCCCTGAGAAATGGGCCAAATTCTATACTGCCGAGGTAGTTCTTGCCCTTGACAGTATTCACAGCATGGGCTATATTCACAGGTACTGTAAAATATCGTTGATCGCGTGTTCTCAGACTCGGTTTGGTTGTTAATTTCTTTGATTGATTCGCTGCCAAAATGGCACAGTTTGAATGGAGAATGCTTGCTGATTTTTTATCTTTTCTATGAGAATTGATATATATATATCGGTGATTTAAATGATTTATAAATTTAGGCTATTTTCTAAATTTTGAAGTAGGCAGAAATAACAGCCAAATGCTGCCAAAATAATTTACTTTAATGGTAAAATTTAATGTATTAAAGGTGCACGTATAACAGAGTAACTTTGCAAACTAACGATATGAACTGTATAGTCTGTTTAACAGAAATATGCAACACTGTATAACTATAAGCGTGATTTGTAATCATGCAAAGTAAAAATGATTGTACAACTGTTACACATTACGATACCGCTGCAGAAACACATAGTAGGTTAAGTTTCTCGGGCATTGAGGAAAGACGGTATTCAAAGAGTTAAATCGCAGCAGTGCAAATTAGCGTAATAATGTGGATGATCTGGATCACATTAGTCAAATGCTTTATTTTATGCAGCGCAGTATAAAGTATCTTTGTCAC